CGTTGAATTTTCGTCGATGTTAAGCCTAACAAAGACTATTGTATCGTTAAAAATTATTTTTTTATTTTGTACAAACAAAATAAATATATTGAAAAATATAAAAACAATAAAAAATTATACTTCAGAAGTTAATTTAGTATCAAAAACGTAAAATATTTGAGTAGCCCAAGACATAGCCAAAGATTGAAGCGCCACAGCACTGGCAAAAATTTAAATTTGCTGACTGGAATTCTTTCGGATGATTGACTTTTGGAAAATTGACGCTCTACTGTACATAAATTTATTTAACCAGATAATTTAATTTTTATAACACACCTTAGAATTTATTAAATTATTTAATAGAAAATAAAAAGTATATTAATCTTAATTAATTATTTTACTTAGCTAAAGTATCCAAAATTTGCTTTATTGGAGAATTAACACAAAGTAAAAGAACATGATAAAAAAAATCACAAACTCAGTAGTAACCTCTGCCATCATCAGGATGTCCACTTATCACTCTGAAAGGTGGAGAATTTGGTGTTCAACTTTTTGAATAGATTTGAATTTAAAAACTTAAAATTCTAAGTGTTTATGTATTTTGTGATAATTGAATATTTATCTTTGATGATGAATCTTGTTTGTTTGTTTATTTAGTTAAGTTATGGCAATGCAACATTTGGGTGATCTACCTAAGGGGAATGCCTTCTGGTAGGTCTTTTTAAGGGTAACTGGCCCCTATTCAGGCATTACAAATGTGGAGAAAACCCAGGAAACTCCACATGGCCAGCCTGTCCTGGTGAGGCACAAACCCTCGCTCAAACTTCCAGTGTTTAGTGACAGAACCATTCGGCCACTGGTGGGCTAAGGTGATGAAGCAAGATCAAAAGTATTTGGAATTTGTTTGATCATATTTGTTTATTTTGTGTTGTTCACTGAAACTTATTTTGGATATTTTAGAAATTGTAAATTAGTCCTAGTTTTACCAAAATAATTTAAAATTAGATTATATGATAACAAATAGTTTTTCTTTAAGATTAAATTTATTTTATTAATAGAGGCAATTTTTTTTATTATAGGGGTGGTTATAGTCGTCCTTCAATCAAAGATGTTCTTGCTATTCAAATTGTTTTATTTCCCATTACAATATCCTCATATATTTATTGGAATATTAAATGGATATGGAGATTCAATATTAAGAAAGAAGAATATGGTGAGGAAGAAAAATTATATTTAATTAAAAAATTGATTGGTTGTTCAGCTACTCAATGGGATGCAATAGAAGAAAATGAAAAAAAAGATTATCTTAGAAATGAATTATGGAAAAAAGAAAAATTTCAGGTAAATAAAAAAAAATATTAAATATTTTTATTAATTTTTAATATCCATTTAATTTGTCTATTATTTCAAATTATTTTGAATTTATATTCAGAGAATTATTTTATATTTATCTTTTTAGAATTACAATTAACAAAATGATTAATTACTGTTTAGTAAGAAATTTACTAATTAAACATTTAACAGAATGGAGTAACAGTTCTCCTACTATAAAAAAATGGAATGAATTTATTCAAAAATTTAATGTCCAGACAGTTTTATTTTTTATTTGTTAAAATTTTTTCATATAAAAATTGTTAAAAGTCGTTGATGATGATAATTTAGGTATTTCTAAATGAATGTAACAAATTATAAACAAATTTTACAAATGATAAAATTATAAAAATACAGTAAAATCTCAGTAATTAGACTGTTCAGTAATTCAACATGTTCAGAAATCTGATGTTATTCAACTCAGGTATTACTGACACTATTGTCAAGTCAGAGATGAGCTCCCACTACTTCAAACTCCAGTTTCCACTTAATGTTGCATGATATTAAGCCTGAGCTTGGACACTTGTGCTTGGGAATGTTATTAAAAGATTGTTAGAGTCCTCAAAAAAGGTACAATACCTTATAACAAAATACTGTATAAATATAAAAATCATCCCCAAAAATTTCCATTCAAAAATACCTTCTGCTAAATATATTGAGAAGCCATCAACTTGGCAACATTCTTTACCAGCAATAATAGGGTATCTGGATGTAATGATCGTTAGTTTAACTTGTATTTTACTGTATCATTAGCAGTTGACTCTGCACTGTTAATTGAATTCACCATAATGTCAATAATCCAACAGTCTCCTTAATCCAACACTCTGGAACCTCCATTCACAATATGGTAAAACTATAGTTATACTCATTATTTCTAGCAGATAATTTCAGTCTTGTACTAATGTTTTTGACTTCCTTGAGAAGTTTTCCTCAGATCTTTACTGTTGCAAATTTGAACAGTTGAAGTGATTTTAGTTATGGAATGCTTTTTAAGAATTCTTTTTATGTAGAATGTTATTTGAAGGAGTGCATGCTCAATGATATATCATAATAGAAATATGTAAAAAGTTGTACATTATGATAAGTACATTGTTTTATGATTCAAGTTGTTTTTTATTATTGGGTATTTTCCTTGATTGATGATTTTAGGAGTTATCAAATATATTTGCCATACTGGGATAATGATGCACAGTCTTTATAATTAACATATTCCTCATTACATTGCCTTAAAAATTTCCATGTTTTCTTCTGTTCTTAAATGATGTTCCTCAGATATGTTTTAGTAACATTGACTTATCAAACCTAGCAGATGCCCCAGACATATCATACCGATGACATTAGTGACTTCTTATTTTGATATACATAAATAAATTAGTGACTTCCTTGTAGATATGTTATTTTGATATTCTTTAACTCTTTGGGATGAGGATCTGATTTTCAACTCAATACAAGTTAGTTGCTGCTTGAACCTGTTCTATTGAATTGGGATAGAATATATGCCTGGGGCCCTGCTTGTGTCAGTTTAATCCTTAGCCAGGGGTGCACAACCTGCGGCCCACAGGCCACATACGGCCCCCTATCAATGTTTATGCGGCCTGCGGACTGTACAGGCCAAATCCCTTCTTTCGAAGTTTCTAAGTGTAGAACTTTTTCCCTTTCACAAAGTCATTAGCACCCAACTGTTTTATGACTTTCCCTGAGGTGAGAAATGGGGGATTGTTCTATAAATAAGTCTATTTTTAGCTAACACTTTCTGCTTTAGATATCGAATATTTTAAAATGATGTTAGAACGTCATTTCCGATGTTATCGGGAAGTTTCTATTTTGGCGGGAAATCTTCAATTTTATGCTTCGGAAAACTTGCCTATTCGTCTAAATAGCGTCAAATAACAAAAATAAGTGAAAATAGCGCTGAAAAACCATGAAAATAACGATTTTTTAGCATTTGTTTACATTCTAGATTCTGATTGGTATAGTCGAATTTGAATCAATCTTTTCTGAAAAGACGCTTATTCGTCAACCTAATGTCATTCAAACTAGAAAAAAACTAACCAGAGTTCAAAAAGGAATGTACAAAAAGCTATAAAACCAATAATTTACAACAATATCTCTCCATAGACAAAGAATAGAAAAAAAATTTTTCACATCAAATTTATTATTATTAAGTTGGACCAAGAAAATTAATACTGTAGTTGGAATAGAGTCATTACGACTAAAAGGAAGCCATTTGCATTAAAATATTTTGGATTTAATAATTATTACAAACCGCGTCAAGCCATAAACTTGTCAACAAAGAGGGTTGTAAAATGATTCCGTGTAGCTAGAAAGCTGCGGTTTTTTTTGTTTGAAAGAAAACAGATATATTTAGGTTATTTAAGTAGTAAATTAATTGGAACTTTTTATTTACTTTTATTTTTACATTCTTTTTTTCGTAAATTTAAAATTAAATTATTATTTTTAATTTTTATTTTATTTGAAATTTAACAGTCGTAAACTGTGATATATTTGTGACAGAAAAAAAAAAAAAACAGATTGATTCTAGCGCCAATTTGAAACGAGATATCGCAATTTTAATAATTATATTTAAAATATTCAGATTTTCCACTGCACTGTGTTAATCACTTTTGATTCATTTCTGAACACGGGGGTAAAACTGACGGGCCATAAATATAATTTAGGTAAGAATGGTAACCACATTTATGATGGATTAGTGTCCTGCACCTGGCATGTTGACGATCTGACTCACAAATTCTGAGAAATGGTGGAGACGCCCGGACAGGGGTCGAACGAATTAAGACCTGCCTGGCCACGTGTGCGTAATAGTCTTCTGTCCCCGCCTCTTTAGTCTTTGGTCAGAGTGGATACAGAACAAAGCACGTGGTAGTCTAGCTTGCCTTATCTCAAACATGATTTGTTGCGGGCCTCAGAATTTTCGGCACAATGAGACATTGTTTTGCAGAGTGAACAGTATGGCGCCGGGCATTAAACGCAAGGTCAATCGCGAGAATCATCAGTTTCAAGAAGTGGAAGTGTGGACTAACAAGTACTGTTTTGTGCAACAGAACAACAGCATTATTTGCCTTTTGTGCAATGGAACAATAGCAGTGCCAAAAGAATTCAACCTGAAGCGACATCATGAAAGCCAACACAAGGATTTCCTTCTGCAAGGTACGGAACGCAAACGGAAAATCGAATCGTTACGACGATCACTAATCAGCCAACAAAATGTGTTCAAGAAACAATCTGGAGAATTGGATGCGGCTGTTGAAGCCAGCCTAGAAATATCTGCTTTAATAGCCAAGAATGGGAAACCTTTCACAGATGGCGATATGATAAAAAAGTGTCTTATCATCGCAAGTGAGAAGATGTGTCCTGAGAAGACAAAGTGTTTTCAAACAATCAGTCTTAACCGCATGACGATACAACGGAGAATCTCGCAAATTGCATCAGACATTTCTGGCCAACTTAATATTTTAGTTGCAAACTGTGCTTATTTTTCTTTGGCTGTGGACGAATCCACTGACATATCATCAACAGCACAAGTGATTGTGTTTATTAGAAGTGTTTCACTAGATTTTATTGTGAATGAAGAATTTCTTGGCATGGCATCACTTTCCGGACATACAACTGGTGCTGACTTACTTACTGGTTTATTGAGCGTTTGCAACAAATCAGCACTGGACTTTGACAAGCTATCCAGCATTGCCACTGATGGAGCACCATCTATGGTTGGATGTGAGAATGGCATGGTCACCTTGCTGAAAAACCACCTTGGGGACAGGCAAAAGGAGTTAGTCCAGTATCATTGCATAATTCACCAACAGCAACTTTGTGCAAAGAAGCTGGGATTTGAACGTCTGCTGAAAGATGTCTATGATACTGTGAACTTAATCCGCCGTCATGGACTCAACCATCGACTCTTCACATCATTTCTTGAAGAAATAGATGCTGATTATGCTGACCTGCCCACGTATACTGAAGTTCGTTGGCTGAGCAAGGCAACAGTCCTCAAGAGATTTGTGGAGCTATTGGGGCCTATTATCACTTTCCTCAAAGAACGGGGGAACACTACAAGGAATTTGGAGGGACAAAGATGGCAGTGTGATTTAGCTTTCCTTGCTGACATTACTGCTTATCTAAACGACCTTAATTTGAGATTGCAGGGAAAGATGCAACTTGTTTCTCAGTTGACAAGTAACATCAATGCATTTATGACCAAACTATCACTTTTCAAGTCTCACATGCAATCAGAGAACTTTACACACTTTCCACATTGCAAGGCCATGAAAGAGAAATACCCACATATGAAGATGGATTACTCTGACCAAGTTAACACCCTCCTTACATCATTCAATGAGAGGTTTGGTGAATTCCAGAAATACAAGATCTACCTGCAACTTTTTTCAACTCCATTTGATGTGAAAGTGGAAGATACCCCTCCAGATGTCCAACTTGAGTTGATAAACATCCAGTGCAGTGATGAATTGAAATCACAGTTTAAAAATTCTAATCTCCTCACATTCTACAAAGAACTGCCTGATACATCATTTCCAAAACTGAAAGACAATGCTCGATTTTGTGCAAGCATGTTTGGCAGTACCTTCCGTGTTTCCCCGAAAATAAAACACTATCTTATATTAATTTTTGCTCTGAAAGATGCACTAGGTCTTATTTTCAGGGGATGTCTTATTTTTCCATGAAGAATTCACATTTACTATTGAACAAAAAAATTCCCAAGTCGAACTTAGACGAGAGTGACGTATATCCGGTCATGTTGAACTGAACTTAAATAAAACCGAAGTGAACTTACAAAGTTCCGTTGGAGTGGACTTCCCACTCTTGCTTCAACTTAACCTTTTTATAGCGTCTACATCGGGCTCGATGACCAATTACTGCTTACTGAACCATAACACTATGCAAATATGATGTGGCGTGATTCCCGGCCGACCAATTAGTGATCACCAGCCATAACATTATGCAAATCTGTGATTCCAAGCCATAGTCTTATGCAAATCATGCCGTGTGGCGTGTTGTCTGCTGACCAATCAGTGGCTGTACTTTCAAAAAGCCAACGGCCACTTTCAACCTGCTGTCGATGACCGTTACGAGTAAAAAAAAAAAAACTTTACTAGGTCTTACTTTCAGGGGGAGGCCTTATATTTAGCAATTCAGCAAAACCTCTGCTAGGTCTTATTTTCGGGGAAACATGGTATGTATGCGAACAAGCATTTTCGCTTATGAATTTAAACAAGTGCAAAACACGGAACAGGTTAACCAACAATAATTTGGAAAATCTGCTGGTTGTTTCAACATCTGCTATTACACTAGACATCAAGAAGATTGCTGCCAGCATCCAATCTCAGCCATCGCATTAATCACTTGGAGGTCCGGCCCCCAGTCAGTAAACTTAATCCTAATTTGGCCCTTCTTCAGAAAAGGTTGTGCATCCCTGCCTTAGCATTAGTTTATTATTGAAACACTGTTATATTGTGACAGGATGCTATTGTTTGAAAACATTACTGCAAAACTGAAATTATATACTGGAAAGACTGAATAAGACTATAGTTTTGTCATATTGTAAAGAGAATTGTAAAGTTGAAAAGATATTTTTCAACTGATTTATATCAGTCATCTGTGATTGATCAAGGATATAAAGCTATTGTATTAAGTTATTGAGTTGATTGAGTTTTTCTTTTGTTATGTTCATTTTCTGTAATTAAATTAATGTTAATTGTATGTAATATTTATGATTAATTGTATGATTGCAGATTTTTTTATAGTTTTGTGATTTGCAATTTTTGTAATTTATTTATTTATAATAATTCTGTATAGAAACTTTCAAATCTTTAAAGTTAAAATTGAAGAGAGTCTGTTGAAATATCAGTTACCATTTATTCACTTTTATTGATGGTAAAAATGGAAAAAATTTCAAATCTTTATTACCAATTATTAAATGTAACTGTATTTCATATACTTTTTAATAATAATTAATGTAATTACTCGTTAGAAGTGTCTGAAATATATATTTACTAAATTTCAACATTGCCTTATTGCCTTTAATACAATATGGCATTGCTGGCTACAATTTGAAAAAAAAATGTAGACCTATTCACACTATCCAGTTTTCCAGGCAATCTGTGATCTTGTTTCCCATTCAGCCAATACATTGTCATTCTTTTTAGTGTGGATATTAGATTAGACATAGTACTGTACATGCATGTCTCCACTTCAAGCCCTCCACTAGTGTTAGTCTTTAAGTAACTGAGTAATTATAAGAGCCATTTCTTCATTTTAACTGAGTTACTCTTTTACTTAAGTCAGTAAATGCTAAGTACTTAAATTTTGAAGTAAATGTTGGAACAAGTAGTCTAACAAGTAATATCTGAAAAATAGATATCTGATGTAAAGCTAAGAGAATATATTGAGAAAGCTTGGGATTTTATTGGCAAACAGAATATTTTTGACATAACAATTAGATACATAAACGGCTTGCTGTATATTATTACAAATGTAAATTCGTCTCTGTAATCCAAAAACACACTTTGGTAGACGTATCTTACAGCAATTTGCTGTAGATACGTCTACCAAAGTGTGTTTTTGGATTACAAAGACGAATTTACATTTGTAATAACAATTAGAATTTGTAAGGCTCAAAAAGAAAAAAGTCATAGCATTCTAGATTCTAATAGATACTGTTGTTGAAGATAAGTACACAAATAATGAGGGTAGATGGAAAAGAGGGAAGAACAAATAAGCAGCTACACAGGTAGATATTTGCTTATGAAGTATAGAGAAATGCAAAGTATTTGACTGATTTTTTTTTCTTTCCTTCCTTTCTGTTGTAATATTTTATATTTGATGATTGCATTTGATTGAATTTGAAATCTGTAATTGTATACTTTTGTATAATTGGAAAAATAAAGAACTTTTTGAACACAATTTTAAATTTATAAAAGCAATATTGTAAATAAAATTAATAATATATAAGACTATTAAAATATCCAAAAGCAATTTTTGTCAATTTATTTCAGGCTTTTTCAGTTTGTTAAATTGAACCAAGAATAATGCTTCAGTAGAATGCTTTTAAATTTAGCAAAAAGCAATATAAACACCTTATCCTTCCAACAATAATTCTTTACTAATGTTTTTAACCTCACTCAAAGGCTTTCATCAGGTTCAAAATGACAAATAGATCCTGATGAAAAACCATGAATGAGAGTAAAAATATTGCTGGAAGGATTTTTGTGTGTGCTTTTTGATACTCCTTCCAGTTTGTTTCAAATGTTGTATTTAAATTTAGATTTAAATGCAACATAAGTATATTTAAGTAATGCTCTTTGGCGTATATAATTGGTTTTTACTAGTGTTGTAATGAATAGTATATTCGGCCTCAGGCCAAATACCGAATATTTGGCCNTCCAATTTTTATTTTATTTATTTATTTATTTTATTTTATTTATTTTGTTTATATAATATACAAAAAGTTGTTAACTTATATCAAAAATTCAAATCAAAATAAAATTCGAACGAATGGTTCCATTTTGAAACGATAAAGGAAAACCTGAGGATGGCCTATCCAAATGGGCTGAAAACATTTGAATAAAGAGAAAAAACTCTGCAAGTAGAATTCAGGTGTGTTCATATATTATAATTTATATTGCTGAGAAGGAGGGAGATAGCACCAATAACAATGCTAACAAAACAGAAGCTAATCGGGTAGTCCTAAACTATGAACCGTCCCTTCATCACATATACAGGAGGATTGCAAAAGATTTAAACATACTCATAACATATCAATACAAAAGGAAACCCAATGTTTTCCACCTTCTGTCTAATGCAAAGGATGGCACTGAGGACACAAGAGCTCCTGGAATTTACCACATCCCACTACAGGACGATAGGTTCAACAGAATACTAACATATATAGGATCCATGTACAGATCTCTCCACGCCAGGCCAAAAGATCAGAAATATGATGTACAAAAAGGAAACATTAATTAATACAGTGCTGGCACGTTACGCCAGAGATCCGAGGATTTTCCCCTGTTGGGACCAAGCTACGCTAATACGTGGGATCTTCGACCTGCAAAACATTAGAACATTAGAAGTGGTAGCGATCTATAGGGCGGACGAGTGGAGCCTGCATTAACACGGATGCCATTCATGTACCAAATGGAAATACTATTTAGGCTCATAAATTATACGTCATATACAAAACGTCTCAGTCTTTATTCGAACTTATTTGTAACTTTTAAAATTAGAACACAGCTACATTTTATTTATAGAACAATTTTTCCATTTTATATTTTCTGAAGAGGACTGATAAAGTAGTGGCCAAAAACGAATTATTGAAGTTAGGGGTTTATTTGCTGGAAATTTTTTTGCATTCTGGATTATTCAGTAATGATATTCATTTTTAAGATGAAAAACTTTATTATTGTTGTTGAAAATATAAAACAAAAATTTAATACAACTGATAAAATATCTTCAAACATGACTTTAAATCCATTAAATCACTTGGTTTGGAATGAAAATGTTTTGTGTAAAATAATTTGTTTGGTTTATTTTAATCTGTTATACTTCATAATTCGAAGCTGATGATATAATTATAGATTATAAGTTATTAATTAAAATTTTTCTATAAAGGTTCCACTTTTTTTTTTATTTAAGTTAAGATTGTTTTCTTTGGACATTCTATATTTAAATATGTAAATAAATAGGTACTGTACATTCTTATATATTTATTTTTGTATTAAGATTAATATAATAATCTATTAATTTCATATCTTTAATGCAATTTTTTGTATAGGTATGGAAACAACAAAAGGAAGATGAACTAAAATCAAAACTTGCTGAAACAGCACGTTATAAAAGTTATAGGAGGTATATGCGCAATCATGGTCCTGGGCAGTTAACATTTGAGGATTAATTTTTTTTATTCAAAAAATAGTTTTTTCTTATAAATTGAAATACCTAATTAACGGGTGGCCGAAAATTTTCTCCGCCCCGGGCTGCTAATAATCACGGTACGCCACTGCGCATCTGAACTCGTCTATCAAAAAATTGGCGCATGGTATGCAAAAGGTTGGCCACCCCTGCTCTATCCCATATGCTCAGTCTTACCATTCTCAGATATTAGAGCTTATGCACTTATTGTGCTATTCGTCCTGTTTTTATTTTGAATTTTGACAAATGCACCTACATCCAAAAAAGGGGAGTACCCATGGGTAGCCTCATTTAGGGGATCTATGTGAACTGGTCTTACCACAGTTGGAGGAGTTGTCCTTAATAAACATCAAACATAATATCCTTATTTACACCCCATACGTTGATGACATTTTGATTGTATGGAGAAATAGACTGGATATTGGGGTGGTGTTAAAGGTGTTTAATAATAATAACTATGGATTAACACTAAAATTGGATCAATAGAGCTACACTATTGTTAATTTCTTAGACATCAAGATTCAAGTAGCGGATAATAAGTTCAACATCACAATTTACCACAAACCTACTTATGTCCCTCTATTCATACCGGCCAATTCAGCTGACCCATGGTCATATAAGGCATCCACATTCCACACACTGGTAGCGAGAGCCTACTCGCATTCTACGTAGATGTCAGATACCATCAAGGAACTAGAGCATTTGAAAAAAGTTGCATTCAACCATGGGTACAGCTGATCATTTGTCAACACCAGTGTCCACACATCTGGCTGTGTCATCTAACATTAATAAGGACAAAATAAGAATGGAAGAGCAAGTGGGGGTGTACACTATCCCGTATGAAAACCAACAAATAGGAGGCGATAAAGAATATGTAGGGGTGACCAGAAGAAACCTTGCAATGCGTATAAAAGAGCACAAATACAGTGTGAATAAAGGACTCAATAGCATGATATTGGCAAGCATGGCACAGGCGGATGGAGCAATAGTTAAATGGGATGAGGTGAAGATCATAAGAACGGTGCACTCACCGTCTATCGCGATGGAAATAGAAAAAATAGAGATATACAAAAGTAAAATGTGGAACCGCTGTTTAAATGAAAAGGATGCAAATACATTACCAATGGCATGGAAATACAAAATAGAAAAATGTATGGGTTTCAATAATCCATAAAATAGGAACTGGAGGTTATAAGAAGTTGTTATATTATAATTTAGACGCATGTAAAAATTTGATATTTAATTTTTTGATAATATGTAGCAAGTGTAGTGACATATTTTATTTTATTTATTTATTTATTTTATTTTATTTATTTTGTTTATATAATATACAAAAAGTTGTTAACTTATATCAAAAATTCAAATCAAAATAAAATTCGAACGAATGGTTCCATTTTGAAACGATAAAGGAAAACCTGAGGATGGCCTATCCAAATGGGCTGAAAACATTTGAATAAAGAGAAAAAACTCTGCAAGTAGAATTCAGGTGTGTTCATATATTATAATTTATATTGCTGAGAAGGAGGGAGATAGCACCAATAACAATGCTAACAAAACAGAAGCTAATCGGGTAGTCCTAAACTATGAACCGTCCCTTCATCACATATACAGGAGGATTGCAAAAGATTTAAACATACTCATAACATATCAATACAAAAGGAAACCCAATGTTTTCCACCTTCTGTCTAATGCAAAGGATGGCACTGAGGACACAAGAGCTCCTGGAATTTACCACATCCCACTACAGGACGATAGGTTCAACAGAATACTAACATATATAGGATCCATGTACAGATCTCTCCACGCCAGGCCAAAAGATCAGAAATATGATGTACAAAAAGGAAACATTAATTAATACAGTGCTGGCACGTTACGCCAGAGATCCGAGGATTTTCCCCTGTTGGGACCAAGCTACGCTAATACGTGGGATCTTCGACCTGCAAAACATTAGAACATTAGAAGTGGTAGCGATCTATAGGGCGGACGAGTGGAGCCTGCATTAACACGGATGCCATTCATGTACCAAATGGAAATACTATTTAGGCTCATAAATTATACGTCATATACAAAACGTCTCAGTCTTTATTCGAACTTATTTGTAACTTTTAAAATTAGAACACAGCTACATTTTATTTATAGAACAATTTTTCCATTTTATATTTTCTGAAGAGGACTGATAAAGTAGTGGCCAAAAACGAATTATTGAAGTTAGGGGTTTATTTGCTGGAAATTTTTTTGCATTCTGGATTATTCAGTAATGATATTCATTTTTAAGATGAAAAACTTTATTATTGTTGTTGAAAATATAAAACAAAAATTTAATACAACTGATAAAATATCTTCAAACATGATTTTAAATCCATTAAATCACTTGGTTTGGAATGAAAATGTTTTGTGTAAAATAATTTGTTTGGTTTATTTTAATCTGTTATACTTCATAATTCGAAGCTGATGATATAATTATAGATTATAAGTTATTAATTAAAATTTTTCTATAAAGGTTCCACTTTTTATTTATTTAAGTTAAGATTGTTTTCTTTGGACATTCTATATTTAAATATGTAAATAAATAGGTACTGTACATTCTTATATATTTATTTTTGTATTAAGATTAATATAATAATCTATTAATTTCATATCTTTAATGCAATTTTTTGTATAGGTATGGAAACAACAAAAGGAAGATGAACTAAAATCAAAACTTGCTGAAACAGCACGTTATAAAAGTTATAGGAGGTATATGCGCAATCATGGTCCTGGGCAGTTAACATTTGAGGATTAATTTTTTTTATTCAAAAAATGTGATACTTTGAGGTAATTTAACAAATAATGATTGTAAAATTATAATGATGATAATTTATTCTTATATATTATTGAAATATTTTTAAATTTATTTTAATAATCTTATTTTCAGTGTTTAAATATTGCAAATAAGATCAATTTGTACTTGCATCATTTATATTATAGCTTGAAAGCATTTGTAATTTGTTAAATGTTTTACAATTTTTTTTCTTTCATTTAATTATTTGATTAATTTGTGTAATTAGTTATCATATGAGCATCATTTGAATGTTTGCAAAGTTTTAATTTTATGTAAAATTTATTAATAAATTATTCATAAAATTTCTTAAGTGCATTTTATTTAGCTTAAATATGGTTAAAATAATAAAATAATTTAATTATAAGGTATAATTTTGTTTATAAATTTTACAATAAGTTTGAAAAAATTATGGAAGATGAAGAGTATCGAATGTTATTAAAATTAGTATTTATTTAATCAGTGATGATCTGACAAAGAGAACTTTTTTTGTGAAGTTTGCTTTAAAATTTATTTGAAATTCTATCTTTGAAGTTGATACTGGTAATTTGCAGTTTCAAAAACTCTTTAAGTGCAATATCCAATATGTTCAGGAAAAACTTTTGTAACAAACAGAAATCTATAGGTTTTTTTCATATTTTGATAACATTTTATTTTCTTAAAGTATGTAAGAAATTTTGTTATACATGAATTTTTTTATAATGTAACTGCGCTAAATTATTTTGCTAAGAGCTAAATGTCACACACACATATATGTCTAATATATTAGCATATGGATAATTATTACCATTTTTATAATTAAAAATATAATAGAGAAATGCAATTTTAGTTAATTTATACCGTATGAAATAATTAATGGAAGGAATCGCGTTTGTTACATTCTGATGCTTTTTCTGATCTTTAGTATTTCAGCATGTATGTATAACTTAATTGTATATCCATGTGCACATATATATTATATTGTGTTATATCCATGTGCATGTGTTATATATTGTTCGTATTTGTGTTTATCGTTTTATTTATGCAAATTTATTGATGTAATATTCTTTGCCGGGCTACTCTTTATTTATTTGTTTATTGTTCTCAATTTTTAACAAATTTTTGGAGTTTTTTTATTTGGGGAGGCAGAAATCCACTTTCCTAATAATTGTTTAATAAATAAATTTTGATAGTTAAATTAACTCTGTTTATCAGATACTGCTGTAAAAAGTTTGACCCTTATTATCTTTTATAATCATTTATAATTATAAGATTGTCTTTTAATATTATTAAATTATAGACATATTAACTGTACGACGAACAGATGCGACAATCAAAGTCAAAATTTACATTACTCTTCGTGAGAATTAGACGATAAACTTGTCACCCAGACGAGTGCGTCTGGGTGACAAGCCACATTTTATTTTATTTTTTAAACAAAATATTTGAGATGCCGCTAAAGTTCAATGTTTGAAACTAATTAATTTACATTTGCGTTATTCTTTGAAGTGCAATAACTATAGTTATTCAGTTGTGGTGGTGTGGAGGACAAAGGAAGGATGACAAAGAAGTAACCATAAAATCAAACAGGATATTTATTCAACTACAGCTACTTAGTCCTTCGTACACCTGGTTCGTTTACACTAAACACACTTGATCCCAAACTATAGTACGTGCACAAGTTCGAATCCGTCCGACAAAATTCTATATTTTCACAAATAGAACACGTGCTCGCGACAATAAAAAGATTATGGTTTAAGATACTACGACTACTTAAATCTACCTTAATCTAGCTTATATGCTAAGGAAGAAGGGTAAAGAAATTAAGAGATATGAAGAGAAGAGATAAGTATAAAGGACAGATTTTGTGGGGGTACCCGGGTAAACTTGGGAGTCTCCGATCTTCTCTATATTGGTACTTGAATTAACTCAATTTCCTTCCTCTTGATTCCGTCTCTTGAGAATTCGGGAGCGTTTTTTCTTGAGGTCTTATGGCTGGATGTCTTTCTAATTTTCGTCCGTTCGCAGACGACTTCCAAGCCTTCTCCGTTTGTCCCACTAGGCGACAAACCTCTAGCTTGCTCTTTCCTACGTCTGCACACCTCAGACGCTGACCCAAAAGTATCCAGTTCGTTCTCTCTGATGGCCTCAGGGCTTCTTAATGTCCCTTTTGTCTTCTCCCCTTTGTCCTTGGACAA